ATGAGGAAACAAAAAACGAATAGTCCTCCCACTTATTAAAATTAAGATTTTTGCAAATGGTTGCCCAGCAATTGGTCTTTATGACTCCGGATCCAATGTCTCTCTAGTTAGTAGTACATTTTTGAACAATAAAAGAAATATCAAACAAATAATAGGTGGGAGAGATACTATTAAAGGTGTAGCTGGAACGACAAAAACGGAAGGGATTATAACAATACGTATTAAAATTTGTAATGTAGAAGAGGATTTTCAGTTTTTCATAGTTAAGGAAGGCATTGATTGTGAATTTCTACTAGGATTAGACTCAATAAAAAAATTCAAACTCTGCCAGGATGAAAATTTGACCATATCACAAAAACAAAAAAAAAATTTTAGATAAGCAAAATAACACTAATAAAATAAGCACTACTAAAATGGAAAATATTATAAAAAAAACGAGATAATCTTTGCCAAATCAAAGTTTGATATAGGATCAGTAAAGGATTATGAAGCCACAGTGAAACTGACAGAAAATAGATATGTTTCAAAGAAACCCTATAGATGCTCGTTTCAAGATAAATTAGAAATCGAGAAACAAATAGAAGATTTATTAAATGCAGGTCTAATAGAGGAGTCAAGCAGTTCTTATGCAGCTCCCGTAACTATGGTTCTCAAGAAAGAAGAAGGAAAAAGATCACGCTTGTGTATTGATTTTAAAGAGCTCAATAAAATAGTAGTGCCAGAAAGTCAGCCCTTTCCAAGGATAGATGATCTTACTATACGTGCCAGAAATTGTAAGTTTTTCTCAAAATTGAATGTGAATTCGGCGTTCTGGTCAATTCCGGTGCGTGCAAAGGATAGATATAAGTTGGCTTTCGTGACACATCACGGACACTGGCAGTGGAGATGTTTACCCTTTGGGTTGAAATCTGCTCCTGCTATTTTTCAGAGTTTTAGCAGGTGTGATAAGAAAAAACAAGTTAGACGTTTTCACAGTAAATTATATAGACGATATATTAGTGTTCTCTAAGACTTACGAAGAGCATGTATACGAGGTGTGTTCAAAAAGTATCGCGAATTTTGTGTTTTTTCAAAAATTATTTATTTATTCATGAATATCTATTTTGTCCCCTTCAAAGTAATCCCCACCAGATATTATACACTTGTGCCAACGTTTTTTCCAATCCTCGAAGCACTTCAAAAAATCATTTTTTGTGATCTTGTTCAGCTCCTCCTTCGATGCCGTCTTTATCTCCTCAATCGTAGCGTAGCGTCGTCCTTTCATGGGCCTCTTCAGTTTCGGGAACAAGAAAAAGTCACAGGGGGCCAGATCTGGGGAATACGGTGGCTGCGGCATTATTAGTGTGTTGTTTTTGGCCAAAAATTCGCGCACAAGCAACGATGTGTGAGCAGGGGCGTTATCATGGTGCAAAAGCCAATTTTTGTTCTTCCACAAATCCGGGCGTTTCTGGCGGATTGCTTCGCGCAATTTGCGCATAACTTGCAGGTAATATTCCTTATTGACCGTTCTACCCTGTGGCAAGAACTCATGATGCACGACGCCCCTGCAATCGAAAAAAACTGTAAGCAAAACCTTCACATTTGACCGAACTTGGCGCGCTTTTCTTTGCATCTTCTCGGCCCTCGGAAAACATTTTGTACCACCGATAAACGTTGCTTCGGTCCAAGGTAGCTTCACCATATGCCACAGTCAACATTCGGAATGCGTCCGCGCACTTAATTTTGTTTTTCACACAAAATTTGATACAGATTCTTTGATCCATTTTTTGGAATAGGCAAAAATCGAAGACGAGCCAAAACACGTGCAAGCAAAGCAGCTGTCAAAAATTAACTGAACATTCAAAATGGCCGTACTTGTCGGCATAAATGAGAAACATGAGTACCAACATAACGCCACAAAAAAATCGAAAATCGAATATACGTAACCCGCGGAAATTCAAAATTCGCGATACTTTTTGAACACACCTCGTATCATGTAGAGCAAGTACTGCAAGTACTATATAAACAAGGTTTTAAATTGAATAAAAATAAATGTAAGTTCGCCCAAGAAAAGATAACATATTTGGGACACGAAATTGGAAGCAATATGATTAAACCAATAAATGATAATTTAGTGGCTATCAAGAAGTTTCCCACACCCAAAACAAAAACACAAGTTAGACAATTTTTAGGGAAGATCAATTTTTATTTGGAGTTTATACCAAATCATGTTGTCTTATTAGATCCTTTGAGAAATCTGTTAAGAAAGAATGTACCCCTCGATTGGACCGAAGAATGTAGGAATAGTTTTAATTCGACAAAAGAATATTTGTGCACAGCTCCCGCTTTGGCAATTTTTGATCCAGAGGCCCCAATATTTATCTTCACTGATGCAAGCATTGAAGGAGTTGGAGCAATATTGAAGCAGCCACAGGAAGATAATTCCCTGAAGCCGGTGTTTTTCTTTTCCAGAAAGTTGACAGACGCTCAAAAAAAGAAGAAAGCCATTTTTATAGAATGCTTAGCAATAAAAGAAGCCATTTTATATTGGCAATTTCAATTGTTGGGGAAAAAGTTCTTTGTATTTACGGACCACAGACCACTGGAAAATCTCAATATAAAAAAAAGTAACGACATGGAACTAGTGCAGATTTTGAATTATATTTCGCAGTTTGATTTTGAAATAGTATATTGTAAGAAATATACATGCGTCCGGCGGATATCGTCGAATTACGTCGTCCTGATCATCCACAGCAGACATTGCGTGCGCATTCGAGCAGGCGCAGGACAGGAGCGTAGCAGGAGTGGGGCACCGTTCGACGGCTCTGTTCCAAAAAGATCGGCTAAAAACGGGGACTCTCTTTTGAGAAGCACGATAGTACAGTTGAGAAAATTATACGTGCGGGAGTTCTTTTGATAAATTTTGTATCGCAATACTTAGTGAATAAAGTGGTTTCATGTCTTTTATTTAACTTTACTTGAGTTGTGCCGAGTTATACAGTTTACTTAAACAAATCCATCCTTACTTACAGTCTTTAGTCTATAAAATAATCGGTCTTTTTTCAACGTCAGAAGTGGGATACAGCTCAGGCTTCACAGAGATCCAGAAGCAAAGGTCATCTGGGACAGAGAGAAAAATAAAAGAGTCGTTAAACATACTCAACGGTCTTTTTAAATTTAACGGTAAGAGATTCTACCTGCATGGTGCAGACTCGGGCTCGTGGTAAAATGGATAGAGCTCAACTGGAGAACCTCTCTCACGAGGAGCTAAGATTAGAAGCGTCCAAGTATCGGTTACCGATCTCGGGAAACCGAAACTCTCTCATTGACGTGATCATGACCCATCTCGAGACTCATGGGCCGGTCGAGGAGATGATGCAGCTGGCCTCTCCGAGACCGACGACGTCGGGTGCAGTTCCGAAGATCACGAAGGCCTCGCAGCAGCGGAGAGACTCCCAGGAATCGGCGGACGTCTTAAAGCAGATGCTGGTGGCGATGCAGAAGCAGCACGAGCAAATGGGAGCAGCGATGCAGCTGCAACACGAAACGTTAGGGCAGATACTCCATTTGCTAACCGACCAGAGGGAGGCGAGATCAGCGCAAACACAGGTAGACACGGCGAGGGAGGTTGAGCGAGATACCTCACCTCGGGTGTCCCCGTCGTAGGAAGCAGGACGACGCTCGACGGAGTCGTGGTCGTCAGGATCGGCGGTGCAGGCGTTGGCCCATCAAATCCCGGAGTTCGGTGGCACGGAGGACGACAACGTCCACTCCTGGGTCCGGAGAGTGGACAAGGTTGCTCAGGTCCACGGAGCGACATTGCTGGCCGCATCGAGCAAGCTGACCAAGTCGGCCAGGAGATGGTTTGACGTCCAGGGGGATCTGGCCGTGGAATCCTGGGTCGGCTTGAGGTCGGAGTTGCTGAAAATATTTGATAGGAAAATTCCGTTTTATAGGGCAATGCAGAAAATTGAGGCAAGGAAGTGGACTTCCAATAAGGAATCCTTCGATGATTACGCCATCGAGAAGCTGGCGCTGATGCATCAGGTCGACCTACCTGATCGGGACAGGATCCAGTTGCTGGTGAGCGGAATAATGCCGACATCACTCAGAGCGACGGCACTGGCAGTATCCGACGACACTCTTGAAGGCTTCTTGGCGCGGATGCGGACAATCACCCAGGGCACCTCGGACTGGGAAAGGAAGCCGTCGTCCCAAGGGCAGCCGCAGAAGCCGAAGGATGGAGCCTGCCGGAACTGCGGAAAGAAAGGGCATACGTTCAAAGAGTGCAGAAATGAGGTATCGTGCTTTTATTGCAAAGAGAAAGGGCATAGGCGATTTGACTGCCCGATTTTAAAAAAGAAAGAGTCCAAGACTCCCGGGCGGACACAAAATTCCTCTGGAATAGCGGCGGCGAGCGTGTCAGCGGATATACAGGCGTCCGATAGCGTCGCGGTAGTACAGGCGGAGCGTACTTTGTTGTCCGTCACCGATCCGTTTGTTAAGATCAACTTCCTAGAAGACAGAGAATGTAATTTGACAGCGTTAATTGATACGGGTAGTCCGGTGTCATTTATAAAAAATAGTATTTTCGAAAAATTTATACAACCGGGAAATAAGTTAATAAAAATTAAGAGTCCGCTGAGAAACTTAACCAACGAGCCATTAAATATATTAGGAATTTACAAAAGTCGCATAGGAATACAATGTCTAAAGAATAAAATAATTTCAGTGAATTTATATGTTCTCGATTCGAACACGTTTCAAGGAGACCTAATATTAGGGCGCGAGTTCATTATCGAAGAAAAACTCACTTTTGTATATGAGCCAGGCGCGAAGGGTGACCGAGATAAGGCGAATCTGTTTTCGTATTTACCGCTGTGTATTGATAGCGACGAAAATAATCTGGAAAACATAATTAAACAACATAATATAGACTTTGACATAGAAGCAAAAGATCGGTTAAGTAAACTTGTTTGTCGAATAAGAGACAAAAATATTATACCTGTCGAGGACGAAAACACCGTCCAAGTGCAATTGAAAGACCCGTCGATTTATGCTTTTGCGCCGAGGCGTTTTGCAAACGCGGAGCGAGCGGAACTCAGAAAGATCACCGACGATCTTCTTGAACGGGGAATAATTCAGCCCAGCGTTTCCCCGTACTGCGCTCGAGTAGTTCCTATAAGGAAAAAGAACGGGCAATTACGATTATGCGTGGATTTGAGACCTTTAAATAGTCGCGTAATAAAACAGAAATATCCGTTCCCGATAATAGAAGATTGTCTCGCGAAACTCGGTAATAAAAAAGTATTCACTTTGTTAGACCTTAAAGACAGCTTTTACCAGATTAGAGTTCATAAGGATTCAACAAAGTATTTTTCTTTCGCCACGCCAGACGGGCAATTTGAATATACGCGTTTACCTTTCGGTTATTCAGAATCACCCGCGGAATTCCAGAAAAGATTGATACGGATCCTTAACCCGTTGATTCGTGCAGACAAGATCCTGGTTTACATCGATGATGTTCTGATTCCTTCTGAATCCGTTGAGGAAAATCTGGAAATTTTAGAGAAAGTATTGTTAATTCTGAAAAGTTACGATTTTCAACTGAATTATGCAAAATGTAAATTTTTAAGATCAGAGATAGAATTCCTAGGATACAGAATTTCAGGGACGGGAATTACTCTTAGCCCGCGGCACACGGAGGCTATAAAAAATTACAATCCTCCGAACGACAAACTACAATTACAAAGATTTTTAGGCCTTACAAATTATTTTAGGAAATTCGTTAGGGATTATTCGATTAAAATTAGACCATTACAAAATTTGATGAGGAAAAATGTGCCGTATATTTTCGATAATTCGTGCATAGAGGCGTTTAAATTACTAAAGAGTGAACTGACCTCACCTCCGGTGTTGAGTCTGTATAATCCCTCCGCAGAGACTCAGCTTCATACAGATGCGTGCAGTCTAGGGTACGGGGCGATTCTGTTGCAGCGGCAGCAGGAGGGGAAATGGTCCCCAGTAGCGTACTTTAGCTCAGGCACGAATGCGGCTGAGAAAAATTATCATAGTTATGAGTTAGAGATGTTAGCTATAGTGCGTGCGATAGAAAGATTCCACGTGTATCTGTACGGTATAGATTTTGCAGTCATTACAGACTGTAATGCAATCGTGTATGCTATCAATAAGGCAAATTTAAATCCTCGAATAGCCAGATGGACTTTGGCTCTGCAAAATTATACCTTTAGTATAAGGCACCGCCCAGGAAGTCGCATGGCTCACGTTGACGCCCTCAGCAGATGCGTGGCCCATGTTGACGAGCTCCCTTTGGAAAGGCGTTTAGAATTTTTACAGCTGACAGATCCTAGAATATTAGAAATCAGTCAGAGCTTAGAGCTAGAGGATAGTGATAAATTTGCCTTAAGTGACGGCTTAGTTTATAAAAAAATAGAGGACAGATTAAAATTTGTGGTACCTGAGTCAATGGTGACGAATATGTTGCGAATCCACCACGACGAATTGGCTCATTGCGGTGCTGAGAAAACATTCCAAAGTATTAATCAAAATTTTTGGTTTCCGACAATGAGGAAACGAGTATATGAATACGTGAATAACTGTCTCACTTGCATTATGTCGAATAGTTCTTCGAATCGTTTGGAGGGGGAAACACAGCTGTACCCTTTACCCACGTTGCCACTTGATGTACTGCATGTTGACCACTTCGGTCCGCTTCAAGAAACTGCGGATAATTTCAAACATATTTTAGTTGTGATAGATGCATTTTCGCAATTTACGTGGTTATTCCCTACAAAATCTACAGGGACTAAAGAAGCGCTACATTGTATCGATAACATTATATCTGTGTTTGGAAATCCACTAGAAATAGTTTTGGATAGAGGCACAGTTTTTACGTCAAAAGAATTCTTAGAAGTCATGAAAGAGAAAAACATCAAGCATAGAAAGGTTGCGGTGGCAGCGCCGTGGGCAAATGGTATGGTTGAGAGGGTGAATCGTTTCATCAAATCGTCCCTCACTAAATTAATAGAGACACCGAGTGGATGGAAAGAGCGTCTAAATGTTATGCAGCACGTGCTCAATAATACATACCATTCCGCAATCAAGGCTACTCCGGCAAAGATCATGTTTGGCTTCGATCAACGTAGCCACGGCGATAGCTCCCTAGCCAGGTTTACGCAAGCCCTTGTAGATATCGATGCGAACCTTGGAAAAGAAAGGGATATTAGCAGGGAAAATGCGTTGCGAGCGACTAAGGTAGTAAAGGAATATAATAAAATGTACCGAGACAAACACTGTAGGAAACCAACGATATATAAAATAGGAGATCGTATTCTAATTAGGGACGACCGAAATAAAATAGGAATTAATTCAAAGTTGAAACCTAATTACAAAGGGCATTACCAGATTGCGAAGGTCCTTGGGAACCATAGATACGTGATCCAGAATATTCCAGGTTTTAACATTAAGCAAAAACCCTTAAATACCATATTGTCTGTCGATCGAATAAAACCGTGGATCAAGGCGCCGGAGAAACCTGAAAATTAATTTGTAGTTGTAAATAGAATATTTGTATTAGATTTAAGTCGTAGTTAGAATAGTAAACGAAAAAAAAAAGAGAAAGAATGTATCACAATAACCTCAACAAACGCGATATATATAATGTGCTAGCGGCGAATTAGTAATAATCATTGTTATCTAACGACTAACCGATTTGTACATAATGTAGTTAACTTCGAGACGAAGTTAAAATCAGGCTGGCCGAGTTGTAAGAAATATACATGCGTCCGGCGGATATCGTCGAATTACGTCGTCCTGATCATCCACAGCAGACATTGCGTGCGCATTCGAGCAGGCGCAGGACAGGAGCGTAGCAGGAGTGGGGCACCTTTCGACGGCTCTGTTCCAAAAAGACCGGCTAAAAACGGGGACTCTCTTTTGAGAAGCACGATAGTACAGTTGAGAAAATTATACGTGCGGGAGTTCTTTTGATAAATCTTGTATCGCAATACTTAGTGAATAAAGTGGTTTCATGTCTTTTATTTAACTTTACTTGAGTTGTGCCGAGTTATACAGTTTACTTAAACAAATCCATCCTTACCTACAGTCTATAAAATAATCGGTCTTTTTTCAATATAATCCGGGTAAAGACAATATAGAAGCTGATTGTTTATCGAGAAATCCGGTTTTGGTATCACACGAAGACACAGATAATGATTCCGTGATCAAAACCTCAAACTTATTGAAATTGAATGATATCAAAGAAAACCAGAAATTGTTAAAAATCGATGATAAATGCATTATTAAAGATGATATAATTTACAAAACTTTAAATAATAGAGAGAAAATATGGACCACTGAAGAATTGGGAAAGTCTCTTATCACCGACGCACACGTAGATCAGGGTCATATAGGCACAAAACAGTTGATTCTAACTTTTAGCCAAAAATTTTATTTTAAAAATATGTATAAACACATAAGATTGACCTGTAGATCGTGCGAAACTTGCATTAAAAACAAATCAAGAATAGATCGCTTTAAAGCACCTCTGTCTCAACTCGGTCCAGCAAAGGAACCTCTCGAAATAGTGTTTATAGACACAATAGGAGGTTTCAAAGACAATAAAAGTACAAAAAAATACTTACATTTGGCGGTGGATCATTTTACAAGATTTGCGTACTTGATAACTTCAAAGACTCAAGTGGCAAGAAACTTCATAAATTTAATTAAGAAAGTAGAAAAAGATGGAAGTATTAAATTGGTTTTATCAGATCAATATCCTAGTATAAATTCGGCACAGTTTAAGCAATACTTAAATAAACAAAAAGTAGCACTGGTTTTTACAGCAGTGGATTGTTCGTTTTCCAATGGTCTAAACGAAAGGACAAATCAGACTTTCGTAAACAGAATACGATGTAAAATCCATGAGAATAAAGATAAATCATGGCCTCAGATAGCAGAGGAATGTGTAAAAGATTACAACAACACAATCCACAGTTCGACTGGATTCACTCCTAATTATTTGCTGACAGGACTAAACCATTCATTTTTACCCGATGAGGTAAACGATAATAATTTGACAAATCTGGCTAACAACAGAAAAATAGCTTTTAAAAATTCAAAAGAAATTCACAATTGGAATAAGGAATATTACAATAAGAACGTAAAACAGATAGATTATAAAGTAGGAGATTTAGTTTATGTACAAAGCGTTAATAAATTGAACAAAAATAAAATAGATCCAATTAGAGTAGGTCCGTTTAAAATTAAAGAGAAAATTTCTGATGTAATGTTTTTGTTAGATAGTAGATTTATAAAAAAGGAGTCAAATATTTTTCATGCTAGCAAGCTTGTTCCTCAATCCGAAGGAGTGTATCCCCGGTCTTAAAAAGGGGGGATGTAAGCTTGTAGGTTATCAAGCTCGGCCTTGCCGCGGCTTGTCGCGCATGAGAGGCAGTATGTAACAAGACTCCGAGCTGAGAGTATCGATGATATCGTACGGAGATAGATAAAGGTTTGCCATCGGCAATTGTATTGATTCAGGTTAGTCTTTGGTTCACTCGCTTACTGTAATGTTTCTGGCATTTGTTAATGTGTACATATTATTACTATTACAGTTGTTTACTGCATCATGCGTGTTGATCCTTAAACCGAACCCTCGCTCCATTGGAGTTTCATAAATTGAGCGCTCTACATATATATTAGATTTTATATTTATGTACGTTTATATTATGTCAGATTTTATATTTATGTACAAACTTTGTCTTAATTAATAAGTTTATCTTAAAATGTTACATATTTTAAATGTTTAATATATAGTTAATAACAATATCTGTATGACACCTGCAAAGAATTAAAACGATTTTAAATATAAAATCTGAATATGAATACTGCGTTTAGACATTTAAAATTAACATCGATAACATCGATGAGACGTTGTGACCGAACCTGTATGGGTAGGTATCCCTCTTCGG